GTTGATGATCCTGCTTCCCATTTCGTTGGGAAAATAGCAGCAACCAGAAGAGAGGTGTTACACCCTCCCACCATGTCTGCTCGTCCCCAGCACTGCACCCACGAGCCCTGCCGCCCCTCCTGGCGCAGCACCACCCACGCTTGCACTGCGTCCTGGACCTCATCCCTTGCACAGGACGCCTGTATTACCCCCCAATCTCTGCAGGTCATCCCTTCTGTCCTCCCTTCTTTTACTTGTTTATTTTGATTTTATTTTGGAGACAGAGTCTTGCTCTGTCACCCAGACTGGAGTGCAGCGGTGCAATCCTAGCTCGCTGCAGCCTCAAACACCTGGTTTCAAGAGATCCTCCTGCCTCAGCCTCCCAAGTAGCTGGGAGCACAGGCACATACCACCAGCTAATTTGTCTTTTATTTTTTGTAGATACAGGGTCTTACTTATTTCCCAGGGTGGTCTTGAACTCCTGAGTTCAAGGGATCCTCCTACTTCAGCTTCCCAAAGTTCAAGGCTGAGCCACTTCTCCCAGTCCCTTCCTTCTTTCCTCTCTACCAGAACATTCTCACTAGTATCATACAGGCCTTAATATCTCCCAACAGAGAGTGGCCAGAACTAGCCAGCTAGTGGTGGACACCCTAGCAGCACAGTGCAGGGAAACAGAGGGACGTTAGGAGAAAGAGGCAGCAAAGGATGTGGTGGGAGATCAGGCAGCAGGACCAGCGTGTGCCAAGGTCCTGAGGTAGGAGGGAGCGTGGCAGGAAAGAAGGCCAAGATGCACAGGGAGGGAGGAGGCAGGTGGGAGGTGAGGCCAGAGGTGGAGGTTAGGGGTCAGGCTTTGTTAGAGCTGTTGAGCTTTTCCCTGAGAGCACTGGGGAGCTGGAGTGTTTCCGAGCCGGAGGTGGCATGATCAGATTTGCCTGTTCAAAGGATCACTGTCATAGCTCTGTAGGGAAGGAAAAGAGTGGGTGCAAACTGATGAGTGGGGAGGCCACACGGCAGCCATCCAGGGAGCAGGGATGGTGGCCTGATGGTGGGCGGTGCTGTCTCAGAGACATCAGGCGAGTTTGAGACACTAAGAAGCTAACACTGACAGGACTCCCTGATGGAAGAAGCCTGCAGGGAGGAGGAAGAAATAGATGTTGGCGCTGACGACTAGGCTCAAGCTTGCACAAGGGAGCCCTGGAGACGCATTCACCGAGCTAGCTGGGGCCTCCAGAGCACCAGGCTGGAGGGAAAGATCAGGAGTTCACGTTCAGTGCCTTTAAAACATCTGGTCAGGCATGGTGGCTCATGTCTGTAATCCCAGCACTTTGGGAGGCCAAGGCAGGTGAATCATGATGACAGGAGTTCGAGATCAGCTTGGCCAACATGGTGAAACCCCATCTCTACTAAAAATATAAAAATAAATAAATAGCTGGGCACAGTGGTGGGTACCTGTAATCCCAGCTACTTGGCGAGGCTGAGGCAGGAGAATCGCTGGAAACCGGGAGGCAGAGGTTACAGTGAGCCAATATGGCGCCACTGTACTCCAGCCCTGGTGACAGAGCGCGACTCCGCATGAAAAAGAAAAAAGAAAAGAAAACATCCACCGGAAGACGTCAAATAGGCAGTTGGATGCCCAAGTCTAGGCCTCAAGGAGAGACCTGAGCTGCTGATTATCTTACACAGCCTCTCTGCTCTGCTAGCATCTCCTGAGCCCTCCTTCTGTGCCAGGCACTAAGCTAGGAGCCAACAGTCCAACGATGAGTGAGGCTCAGGCTTGGATCCTTAGCCTGAGGAGCAGTCTGCCGTAGAATGTGAGTTCCTTTTCCTGTGGGGAACAGGAGTGGGTGTGGCCCACCAGAATGCAGCTGGGGCCCTTCTGGGTTGAACTCTGTCCCCAATTTGTGGGACGCCTCGAGGCATGTCAGTACTGCTCTCTGAGCTTCACTCCTGCAGATTCCTTGTAAAGATACCTGGCACCGGGTTGCTGAAATATTTGTCAGATTGGATGAAAAAAAAATGAAACTGCTTCGCAAAGTGCTTTTCAAATACACTGACTTGTAAGTTTAACAATAGGAAGAATGTGTTATCCTCTTAGCAGCTGGTATGAAAACGTTTCTCAAAGAGAAGGGTGTGTGGTTGGATTAGGGGAACAAAGTACCAGGGACAGGACAAGGCTTCCTTTTAACACCCCAAGATGCAGGAGGGCAGAGGGGCCATGACACGATGGGGCTGGGGAGAGCAAGAAGCGGAAAACCCAAAACACTCAGAGAAGACACCTGCCCATGGGACCATTTTGAGTGGCCCTACCAAGCTTCAGTGGAGTGACCAGAAGTCCCTACATGCTCTGGGGAATTGTTTTTCTTGTAGAACTCAAGAAAGTTGCCAAATTTGATACAGGGATAGCTCATGTGAAAAGTAGTTACAGGGGTTCCTCTTCTCCATTATATGTTTCTATTTCTGTGCAGTAGTTAAATATCCCTGTACACTATATACCTGTACACTATATACCTGTACACTATATACCTGCACACTATATACCTGTATACTATATACCTGTACACTATATACCTGTACACTATATACCTGTACACTATATACCTGTACACTATATACCTGCACACTATATACCTGCACACTATATACCTGCACACTATATACCTGTATACTATATACCTGTACACTATATACCTGTACACTATATACCTGCACACTATATACCTGCACACTATATACCTGCACACTATATACCTGTACACTATATACCTGTACACTATATACCTGTACACTATATACCTGTACACTATATACCTGTATACTATATACCTGTACACTATATACCTGTATACTATATACCTGTATACTATGAGGTTGGTGCAAAAGTAATTACAGCTTCACTATTACTTTTGCTGGCAAAAACCACAATTGCTTTTGCACCAACCTAATATATAGATCTATATTATACATATAGGTCCAGGCCAGGCACAGTGGCTCATGCCTGTAATCCCAGCACTTTGGGAGGCTAAGGTGAGTGGATCATTTGAGGTCTGGAGTTTGAGACCAGCCTGGCCAACATGGTGAAACCCCACCTCTACTAAAATACAAAAAGGTGTGGTGGCATGCACTTGTAATCCCAGCTACTCGGGGAGCTGAAGCAGGAGAATCACTTGAACTCAGGAGGCAGAGTTTACAGTTAGCCAAGATCACACCACTGCACTCCAGCCTGGGTGACAGAGCAAGACTCCGTTTCAGGAAAAAAAAAAAAGAGTAGGGGGGCTATACTGTAAAATTCCTAAGTAATATCTACAGTACATACTAGAATCTGCTCCTACTTTATAAGACATAGTCTCAGGACTGTATAAGGAAATACATTGCCAGCATGTATTGAGGGGTGTATTAATTAGGTCACACCAGCTACTATGTCAGTGGCTGGACGTAGTCAAATTTCACTTCTCTCTCTCATCAATGCCCCAAGGACTTCCTAAATGTGTCAGGCACTGTTCTGACTAGTCAACATGCATCAGCTCAGTTAACCTCCACGACAATCTGCCAGGGAAGAATTCTTGTTATCGCCACTCCCAGGTGAAGACACTGAGTGAGGCACAGCTGGATCCAGGCAGTCTAGCTGTGCAACCTGCATCTTACCCACTGTGCATACGACCCAGCAGGCACCCAGTTCTTCTTCCACTCAGAGAAGGTTCAAGGGCATCTGTGGTGCCTGTGCTGGTGCTAGGGATAAGATGGTGAATGAAACAAAGTCTCTGCTGTCAGGAAGCCGATGCTCTGGTGATTGTAGGGTCTATTCTGCACATTGGTGTTTAGAAAGGCTGCATTTTAAGAGTTTACTCATTCAGCAGTGAACGTTGGGGAGTACCTGCCTGTGACACTGTGCTGGGATTTGCCCTGGGCCAGTTCTCACCTTCCCAGCAGCACTGAGGAAATGTTGAGAGTCAAAAGACCCTAGTTTGGCCAGGCATGGTGGCTCACACCTATAATCCCAACATTTTGGGAGGCCGAGGCAGGCGGATCACCTGAAGTCAGGAGCTCGAGACCAGGCTGACCAATTTGGTGAAACCTCATCTCTACTAAAAATATAAATATTAGCTGGGCATGGTGGCACATGCCTGTAATCCCAGCTACTCAGGAGGCTGAGACAAGAGAATTGCTTGACCCTGGGAGGTGGAGGTTGCAGTGAGCCGAGATCATGCCACTGCACTCCAGCCTGAGTGACAGAGCAAGACTCCATCTCAAAAAAGAAAAAGAAAAAAGAAAAAGACCCTAGTTTGAACCCTGATTCCATCATTTCCTAGCCACAAGTACTTACTCAGATAGTTTACCCTTTCTGAGCCTCAGTTTCCTCATCTGTACAATGGGAATAATCATAGCCCTCTCACAGGCCTGTGGTAGAACCAAAATGAGTTGTAGTTCAAGAACTTGGCCAACAGTCCAGCCCCCAGGGGGCTCAACCTCCTCCCTAACCCCATGTTTATTTCAGAGCCATTGGCGGCTGGGTTTGGTGAATTCCATGCAACTGCAGCTGGGAAAATGTTTTGCAGGCTCTTCTAAAGGGCTGTGGCAGTGTCTGGCAGCATCAGTGTGGGGTGTGTCCTCTTTAAAAAGCAATCTGCTGCTTTCTCACATGTCAAATGCAGGGTGACTCTCAGTCAAGCTGGGGCACAGAGACAGGCTGAGGAGCATTTATCGGCCTCCTTCGTGGCAGTCCCCAGCCCAGAATCAAACCTCCACCACTGTCAAACCTCCGCTAATCCTCAGAAGCCTCGGTGCAGGGATAGAAGGCAGCGTTTTGAAGTTGTCAGCTTTAGATCCTCTCTGCAGTACTGCGGGTGTGTGTGTTGTGATTCACCAGGCAGATGTCCAAACAGACAAAGCGAAACCTTCCTTCAGGGGTGAGGCAGAGGGCTGAGTGAGTTTCCAAAGAGCGAGAAGTCAGGAAGAGGCAGGTGGGCCCTAAGCGCCCCCAAAACTGTGATGTTTCATGCACTCCTTCTCCCCTTGTTTTGCAGGGAATTTCAAAGGTCTGTGCAAGCAAATCGATCACTTCCCAGAGGATGCAGATTATGAAGCTGACACAGCAGAATATTTCCTCCGTGAGTGCACGCTGCTTTTTTAATCTCCCTCCTGGTGCTGGCCCCTACCCTTCCAATCTGCACAGAGTCAAGGACAGGCCTATCTAGAGGCCTCCATCACAGCAGAGGGCAGGAAAAAGCTGAGCCTCTCTCCTTTCCAGCATGCAGAACTCCATGCTTGCTGTTCCCTCCACCTGCAATGCCCTTCCCTCCCCGTCTTTGGCAAACTCCTCCTCCTACTCAGTCGGCCTCCAGACCTCAGCTAAAACATCACGTTCACCAGGAAGTCCTTCCTGCCTTCTGCCTGAGTTCCTAGAGGACAGGACTTTATCGCGCTGATGGGGTCCTCGGCTATTTGAGTAACCATCTCCCAATTGTGCTAGGGTGTGGACTCTCCCTATAGTTCACCATTATATTCCCAGCCCAGTGCTTGGCATATAATAAGGGCTCAGTGAATATTTCTTGAATAATTGGATGAAGTAACCCACCAGGCAGTGCCAGATTGAAACTTTCAATGAAAAAAAAAAAAAATGAGATTTTTGTCTTCCCCCGCAAGTCAAGTAAGTCAAAGTTATATCCTGATGTAACAGCTGTGATCTTAAATCCACCTGAGACATATTATCAAGAGAAAGCATTCTGAGGCCCCAAGGAAATGTCTCAAGTATCAGCAGAAACTAACAAGGCTACCTGTTCCCTGAGAAAGGGATTTCCCAGAGAGGGCCTGAGAGTCCTTGACGCCTGGGCCGTGTCTTTGGAAGGAGGTTTGCTCTCCTCCCAGGAGCATCCCTGCCTCTGCTCCAGGCCCACCCCAACAGCACAGGGGTTGCCATTACCCTCGGTTCACTTTTATGAAACAAGTAGGAGGCATTTTATTATATAGATTGCCCCTGTCTCTTTCAATAATTACTTCTCACATCAAGCCCAGCTCTCAGGTCAGCCTGGAATCTGGTTTCATTGAAAAGCCCATGGAATGTGAAGTCAGCCAGGCAGCTAGGAAGAGAGAGGGAGGGAGCACAATGCAATTTATAGATTCCTTTTTTAAAAGGAAAAATATCATACCCTGCTCGTCATGTTCCTTGTATGAATTCCCTCAAGACGATGCTCTTAACTGGAAATTCCCAACAGGCCATTTGGTTGTGGTGATCTGTCACCTCTGACTGTGTCTGGGGTAGGGTTGCAGGAGGCAGGCCGTAAATGTGGGTTGAGCTCCTTCTGTGCACTGGCTTCTGTGCTCAGTGCTGGGGAGGCCAAGAAGGATGAGGAAGATGCAGTCCCTGCTCCCAAGAAGAGCATAGCCTGGCAGGGAGCACCCCTGGAAAAACAGCTCAACTTGGGAGACACAGCATGGCAGAGACGAGGGGGAGGCCAACCAGTAAGCAAAGCCGAGCCCCCACACTGGGAGCCACACTCCTGAGGCACGGGGCTCACCAGGTGGAGCTCGAATGATGTCATGCTTTATCTGCTAGGCAGCAAGCGCCTGGGAGCAGGAAACTTGTCTCATTCATTGCTGCCCTTGCAACAGCTCAATGAATGCTTTTTGCTAAGTAAAGGAAACACAGAGGATTCTTCTGTGGCAATTCCTAACAACTCAATGCCTCCATTTCCTTGTTTTTAAAGAAAGAAGAGCTTAGAGCATAGAGTATGTGGTTCGTTTTGTTGTCCCTGGACAAAACACGTGTATTCAGGTTGGCAGTGCAGGATTCAGAAGGTCTGATTTGAGATGACTTAATCCAACAATATTTTTTGAACAACTACAGGGGTCAGCAAACTTTTTCTGTAAAGGATCAGACAGTGACTATTTTAGGCTCTGTGGGCCATACAGTCTACCCAACTATCCCCTTACAGCCATTGACAATACGGTAGCATATGTATGGCTGTGTTACACGGACACTTAACTTGATTCACACAACAAGGCAGCAGTCTTTATTTGGTATAGTTTGCTGACCCCTGATCTATAAAATGCTAGTCCTGGGCAGGACAACAAAAATAATTTTTTAAAGCTGCAAGATGTGAGTTTCTATCATTCTCTACAAAGTTCTAACTAGATGTTGAGAGAAGCTGGAAGACAGGGATGATTTTTCTAGAAGGACCCCCTGCCCCTCCTCCCTACCCCTGCTCCCGATTCAGAAGCTCCTCTGGGGCCTCCCTGGTACCCTACTTGTGTCCACAATTTAACCCTTCCCACACTTGGCTGCAATTTCACTGGTTCACACTCAGGATCCCCAAAAGACTATGAGCTTCTTGAAGGTAGACCTATGTCCCATTTATTTCTGCACCCCAAGCACCCAGAAAAGGGCATGGCAGAGAATTTGACCCAAAGAAGCACTCTGATGACTGAGCAACGAAGTGACTGGGTGGGTGAATATGTGAACACTCACAAGTGAATCGTGGTCTAATGCCCTGAGATCAATGCAAGCAACAGGCTTCCAGAGGAAAACAGCTGGGCCCCCATTCACCAGAGGTAGGCAGGTGGCTCCCAGAGGTGGGCGGAGCTTAGGCTCAAGGAAGTGAGCTGAGTTACACCTCGGGTGGGCGGGGCCTCAGTCAGCTCCTAGTTAGGTCTGTCAAACCCATCTGCACAGCTCACCTGCCAATTGTAAGGCTGTGATGTGGCAGAGAATGCCGGAAGGGTGTGACTGGACAGCAGTTCGGAGTTCATCTCCTGAGGTGGCAAGGACAGCGGGCTCACTGCTCTGAAGCCAGCAGGCCAAGCTTAAGACATTGTCCAGCCTCTTGGAGGGCCTGGCAGAAGGAAGGCACCCAATTAATATCTGATGGACAAATTAATCAATGAACAAATGAATGAATGGGCACTCTTACTCCCAGTGCTATGAGTATGTGAGGACTCCCCTAGCCTCTCCTGAACCACAGTGATAGAGAAACAGCTATAGGAGACCCTGGTCACCTCCCCAGGCTCCACAGAGACATGACCAATATGGACCTCACCCTACCTATCACTGGCTTACCCAGTAATGAATGGTGACTGGACTGTTTTTCCCAATGAGTGCTGTGGGCCCGTCAAATGTGTCTGCTGTGGTGGCCTCCGTATCCTCTTCCCTCATTAACCAAAGATTGAGGAGCGTGGTGAGGAACGAGCTGGTGGTGACCGGGTGTGACTTATCTTGAATGTCAGCCTGCATCCGTGCATCTGTCTTTGTGCATGATGGTATAAGTCTGTGCTGTGTTCTGTGTCTTTTGGTACCTGCATGTCTGTGTGCCTGAGTGTCCATGTGTGAATGCGTAAACACTTTTGTGTTTGTACGTGTCTGTGTGTATGTGGGTCCCTGTGTGTTATGTGTGTGTGTGTACGTGTGTGTGTTGTGTCCAGGAGATGGGAGTTGACATATCCTAGCTGTCCTATTGTGATTTGGAGTAAGAGGAAAAGAATCAGAGGAATTTGGCTTCCTCTCACAGTCATGTATTAAGCACCTACTGTGTACGAGACCACAAAATCCACTCTATTGTGGCCATTCATAGTCCAGGACTGCTGGGGGTACGGTCAGGTCTCCCCACTCCATATTCAGAGCCTGGGGCTGGAGGTGTGGGGCCCAGGGCTGGCTGCTGTCGCTGATGCACTCCCTCTAAGGGGTATGTCACAGGCCACACAAACACACAGACAGATAGGTCTTGATGGGTGGATCACCAGGCCACACTCCAGAGCCGGAAGGAGACAGAAGGGGGAAGAGAGGTAGGCCCTCAGCAGAGATTACGTCCCCACTCAGCTCCCCTCAACACACACAAAAGAGGTATACCCAGTTGCACCTGGACTTGACACCTCCCCAGGGATTCACTGACCACCAGAGGACGATTATAGGCAGCTAGGGGGTTGGGGGAGAGCCGACAGCGGAGTGGAACCAAGGAGGGAGGCAGAAGGTAGCCATGGCAGGGAGGATCCATTCGAGGGGCATTTGTGGGGTGAATTTCCAGAACTTGGGCACCCGCGGAAGGAGGCAGGCTTTGGCACGCTCCAGGCTTCAAATCCGGCTCTGCCACTTCCTGGTGAACCTCCCTGGACCTCAGTTTCCTTGCAATGGGGATGATGCTTATTGTCATCTTCCTAGCATTGCCATGAGGATTAAGGGAGTTAGAGGACAGCTCTTTCCAGCTGCCCAGAGCCCAGTGAGCACTCAGTGGGCAATCACCAGGATCCATGCTCACTGTTGCATCCCATTGCACAGTGATGAGCACAAAAGACAAAGAGGAAATGGTGAGGAGAGATGGGCACCCGGGGAGGTCTTCCGTTTGCAACAGGGTGGTCAGAAAGTCCTTGCAGCAAAGGTGACATTGGAGCAGAGACCTGAAGGAGGTGAGGGAGTGCTTGGGAGGTGCAGATAGCGTGGAAGAGCATTCAGGCAGAGGGAACCGCCAGTGCAAAGCATCTGAGGCTGCCGGGTTCAAGACAGCCAGAAGGCCCTGTGAGAAGCAGACGAGGGGCAGGCAGATGGGAGAAGGGGTGGGGGCAGGACTCAGGAGCCTCTGCTTTCCCCTCAGATGGGACCACCACAGAAGGGTTCTCAGCAGAGGACAGGCATGGTCTGATGTCCAGGCTGCCAGTATCATTCCAGTTTCTGCAGGAGAGGGAAACCAGTTAGGAGACCACGGCCAACTTCCAGGCTCAGAAGGCAGGTGCTCAAGCCCCGGAGAGGAAAAGTGGCTGAGAAAGGGTTTCTACATGTATTTGACAGGAGCGCCGGCAGCAATTTTTTTTTTTTTTTTTTTTTTTTTTTTTAGAGGCAGAGTTTTGTTCTTATTGCCCAGGCTAGAACGCAGTGGCACAATCTCAGCTCACTGAAACCTCCAACTCCCAGGTTCAAGTGTTTTCCTCCCTCAGCCTCCCAAGTAGCTGGGATTACAGGTGTCTACCACCATGCCCGGCGAATTATTTATATTTAGTAGAGATGGGATTTCACCATGTTGGTCAGGCTGGTCTCGAACTCCTGACCTCAGGTGATCCACCCGCCTCAGCTTCCCAAAGTGCTGGGATTACAGGCGTGAGCCACTGTACCTAGCCAAGCTGGCAG